ATTTGGTTTTGCTTTATTGGATAGATTTTGGAGAAGACTTGTTTTTAAATGCATAATCTAATATTGTAAACTGGATTATTATTATTAATAATAATAATAATGAGGAAACATAGTAATATGTATAATCAAAATATAGCTCTTTGTACGTATTTTTTCTAAATTCTAGTAAGCTTTTTTCCCAAAGTCTGTTTAATTTTTTTCTGTCCTATGCTACAATAAAATTAGTACAGAAGAGCCTCATGTCATTCAGTAAAATGTCAAGGTCTTTCTGAAACAGTAAAGATTTAGTTTTTTTCATCATAGATAAATCATTAGAGTTTACTGCTTAAATATCTAATCTAAATCATTAAATAGCTCACTTTGAAACCTTGTGTATATTATTTCAAAGTTTTTACTATCGTCAGTACAGACTCATGGGGATGTAGAGCCCATATTTCTCAAAAAACTTGGGTTTATGCTGTATATACAGTATACAGTAACCTGTTAAAGCTACTTAAACTGTTTCTTCTAATAAACTAACACCTATTGCATTGTATCATGATACTTCTGACAGAAACATTTTTTTATTTCTTTTTATTGCCTCTTGGATTAAAATTTATCAGAAAATGAATTTTCATCCACAAACCGCGCCAGTATTATTAAAAATGTTATAAATTTGGAGAGAACATCACAATTCTGTATTTTTCAAAGGTTTCTGATGTATCTTGAATTACTGTTTTTCGCTAGAAGGATTTTTTTTTTCAAGGGTAATTGATTTTATAGTAGAAAAGAAAAAAAGGTTTTTATAGAACAATCTGTATACAGAAGAGACCATTGACAGACTGTACAGAAGCAGATTGATCCACACACGATTTATACACTTCTGTACATCAAGGGAGCTTTGTCAAAATTTGTATTTGCTTTAGTAATTTAGATACTCTTGGTTATATCCCCTAATGTTATATTCATGAACGGAGGTATAGATTAGAAATTCTTCTTAAGGTAGTCAGATATTGTACATTCTATGCAACAAAAAAGAGAGATGCAGATTTCTATGTCAAGGCCAATTTAGTCTCCGCAGGAGTTTCGGAGGAAGTTAAACATATTTCACAACAACTCGCTTTACTGCATTCTGCAAAATCTGTAATTAGAGGATACAAAGAGTCATCTAGAGAAAGTTGTTTTTTTCCCTCAGAGATTCTCCAAAGACATTACAGAGATTTAAAATTTTTCTTTTTTATCTCATTTAGTATCACAAATACCAGCAAGATGGCAAAGAACAGCCAGCATACTTCAGTTGAAGGAGGGGGATATTTCAAAGCCCATCACAATCCATTAAGAGATTAGAACAGTTATGTTGATGACTCTTCTGTGATAAATCCTCTCCCACTCAAAGATACAAGCACAGATTTCTAGGACAATATAACCTGGAAAATCATACTCAGAATCAATGCTGTTCAAAGTATTTTTTTTTATGTGATACATTGCTGTTCAACGTGGTACAAAGCATACTAATTGTTTGAGACCATATGTGATATGCATTAAGATGCCTTTCACTGACAGAAGGATTTTGATACAGACTTCTCACAAAGGTGCTGTGATCCTGTGAGAAAGCGAAGACATTGTGTTCCGGAACAATTAGTACGAAGCCTTACTAATAACTGACTAACCATCTGAGTTTAGTTTCGACATTTCTTATCTAACTATATCATTTTCCTCAGAGATTACCCTGACATGTCAGAGAGCATAACATGGGAAGACTATCAGAAAGGACAGTCCTTCTCAGGCGAATGGGGAAAAGGAGGAAGTGAAAAGCTATGTGAGCTGGGAAAAAATTCAAGACCTGAGGAGAGAGATTCACAGAGAAAACAATGTAGACTGCCAGCAGTTTTGGGTTGTCAACAGATAACAAAATACAGGAAAGCTAGATTTAAAATAAGTGAAGACTGTATTCAAGAAAGAAGCATATGAAAGGCAAAGTTCAGATAGCCATAGAGAACAGATCTGTTCAAATTACAGCCAGCACCAGCGTCCTTCCTAGATGGCACCATCAGAGTGTCAGCCAAGCTGAGCATGATGCTTCCAAGTCCTTGTCAAAGCTCCAGAAAAAGATAAGATAAAGAATTTAAAATGAGTCATTTTACTTCATGGTTTGCCAAACAAAGTTTCCAAACTTGGAACACAAGTAGAAGTTACGTATCATTGTCTATCTCTTCACAAATTCCCTTTCCCTCTTTCTCTTTTTTATTGTTACAGGATATTTTGTTATGTTTTGTTTTGTTATCTCTTCTGTTGGTACCCTGAAACTTCAAACTCTTCATTGAACTTTGAATGTAAGATCTCAAGACAGCAATGCTTTTTGAAAAGAACCAAACCACATGAAACAGGGGAGCAATGATCTGATTTTTTCCCTTCTGATCATATGAGTACAAACCATTTTGCTTTCTGACCAGCGTATATCTGAAAAGTCCAATTCACATGCACACACTTCAATGCAATTTATTGCGTAATACTAGAATATAGTGTACAAATTGGAATTGTCTTACATAATGACCCCTTTTCCAAAAGATTTACAGTGGAGATGAAGGAAGAGAAAATGGCAATGACAAGATGAGAAAGGCTGAGGTTTAATACATAATAACAATAAGGTTTTTTTTCTAAGACCTCGTGAATTTAGCAAAGCACAGTTTCTACTGAGCATTGGACACTATCCAGGAAAAGCTTTCTATTTGACAGTTTGAAATGATCTAAAACTGTTAGAGACATCTGGCACATATACTGTCACTATTTTCACCTTATCAGAAATCACGAATGGTCTTGAATGGTACTTAAGAAGGCAGTGGCAAAACAGGGCACTAGTGAAAACGTATTAATCTAGAAAAAGAGAAAAATCTTTCCAGCCTTTATCAGCTGCATGGTTTTGTATCTAGTGCCTGAATATCACTGAGCTTGGCAAGTCTAGGGTCTAAATAGACTGGTTTCATAAATTTTCTGTGTGACAACCATTCTGTTACTTTCTGCGGTTTTACCTTTTTTCAGAACTGGTTGCTTCTGTCAAAGGCTGGCCCAATCCTTCCTTGTCATATAAAGTACATTCCTCAATTAACAAATGTTTGTACCTGTTCCTTACTGAGAACTTATTATACTATCTTCAACTGTATTTATGATCAGAAGAATCTTTTGTTTCAATCTGTCCCTTCACCTGATCCATGATATTTAATGATGCATCAGTCATAAAGGTATGTAAGTGTTAAGAAGTCACAGACAGATGTCTCTTCAACTATTTCAGAGATTTAAACTTCTCTGCCTACTTCTCTTTTTTTCCTTCTGACATTGTTCCAAATATTCCATAAATTACTTAATTATTTTCCTCAGAGTTGAAATAATGCTTCAGGGTTTAAGGTTCCTAAAGGCACTGTAGCGTATTTTCTCATATATGGAAACCACACAACAGCATAATATAACAGCTTTTCACAGCAGCTTTTGCAAGTAATTCTTCCTTCATTTCCTCCAGAACTCTTGTATTGTATCCTAGTGACTGGCCTTGAGCCTTAAAGGGAATTTAGTTATATGATTCTGAGCAGATAATCTGCCCCCCAATTTGTTTGCCAAATGGATGCCTAATTTACATTCGCAATTACCTCAATTGCATGCATAAATGAGCTAATGAAACACACAAATGTGTAACTGGTCATAAACAGTCATTTCCATGTGCGATTGCAGTAATTGCATGCTCCTCATGATTTTGAAAATCAGGAACTTAATGTTAATTTGATGAAGTTCATGTTGTATAACAGCTATATTTAAAGATTATCACTCAGCAAATGCAGCCGTCTTTTTCTATTATGTCTTTTTTCCATCGTGGTTAATTGGTGGATGACGGTGTTTAACATTGCAGGGACTACTTTTTGTTGATAAGCAGGGTTCAAACATTTCCCTAAAATAAACAGGACTGCAAATCTATTTATATATTGTACTGTGTCACAATAACCACAGTTTTATACTCCTTTAAACAATGTGTTTATAAAGAAATACTCATTTGAGGTAAAAGAGATTTTGGGAAAAGAGATAATAAATCACTTAACTATTTTTATCCAGACATTCTGATTCATGATAATCACATTACACAATTATCTAATTAATTTAACTGTTTGGTTTAGTCATAGATTCTGCCAAAACCTAACTCTCATTTTCCACTTCCAAATGCAGGCAAATCTTGTAGCTTTTCTTACTTATTCTGCTGCCATCCCATCTGTTTTTCTCTTAGACTGCAATTGCTTTCTGGGTAACACAGAACTAAGACCTCTATGAGAGAGATTAGCAAGTGTGATGGTGTGACCGAATGACTCCAAAGTATTATAGGAAAACTACTATATAACTACATGAAAAGACTGATATGTTTTATTCTATTAAATTGTATGGTGTAGAGACCAAGAATACATATTACAGTAGTAGTTTTAAATCATTGGACATAGTCCATTTTAAAACTAAAGTGCACATTTCAAGTGTTTTACTGATGTAATTAGACTGTAAACAATATAGTTCAATTGCAGGCGTTATGTTTTGATCTTCTAAAGGTAAGATCTGACTTTGTATTATTCTTTCAGTGGTTTTAACAATATGAATAGGGTTGATAAATGCAGAGCCAGAAATAATTTTTTCATTGTTGCAGATAATACACAGAAACATTATGGAATAACAATAGCTGAAAGAGTAATCCAAAGTATAATAAGAGGATAATGTTGATTATGTTTACAGTTAGATGGCAACTTATGGCTGAACACCAACCAAAGGCCTCGATCCTGTAATCCATTTCACTCAGCAAATCCCGAGCCACCTGTGGGACTACTATGAGGAATATTTAGGTCTTGTTGTGCAAATATGATTGTCCTATTCATGTCCCAGGCCTGATTGTTTGATCAGTTATATAATACAGGTTACATTTGTAAACAAAATCCATTACATTAGAAAGTCAAGTTCATAAGTAGAAGCAATAAAGGAGGAAAAAAAATCAAACTTGCCTTCAATAGCTGCTGGTTTCTTTCTTGGACTGTGTTCTAGAAGAAGACGAGGTGGTACCATTGCCTTATGTCCTGCACATAATTATACAGGTTAAGAAGCATAGAAAATGTATTCACTAACAGGCTGAGCAGATTCATTGGGAGCCTGAGCTCCATTCAGAATTGTTCATGTTTAAAATATTACACTGTGCATAAAAGCTATTATCTTCCAGACACCACAGGAAGGAAATGTATTTCTCAACAAATAAAGTAATTTATTTTTAAGAGACACATTTTAAATCAATGAAGTCCAAGTAACTCAAGCATATGCTGAAATGCTTACAGTTCTATTTTTCTTCATTAGACTAAAAATCTCTGAAGAATAATACTGTGATAATAAGGTTACATATTCATGATGCTTCTCCTACAGTAAAAGCTCATTTTCTTCTGTCAGACAAATGATCTTCAGTTGTTCCCTCAAGTCCACTTATTATGAACTTCTTGAAACACCAGTAAAAATTATTATGTTTCTCATCCTTAAGGATTATTCTTAATTAGCCAACACCAACCAGGTCATGTACTGTAAACACTGAGGAGGTTCTGATTCCAGCCGCTGACTGAAACACCTCTGCACTCTCAGTGTTCAACAGTACTCTCTCATAGTATTGAACTGGGACTTTCTGTACTGTCTTAGTCTATGTGCAGATGCTTTATCCAAAATATTTTTCACTTCATTTCCCCAAAGATTCACGAACAGATCTATTGCACTCTTATATTACTCATGCTTTTTCTCAGGTTTATAACACTGAATAAGTGTTATAAACTGTTTGCAGTCTCCTTATTTCCTTTTTATTTCTTTCTCTGACATTTATGCTCAGTAGCTATCATGTCATTGTCATTTGGAAAGCACAATTTGTTGTGACCCTTGAAACAAAATTAAGTAGTTAAATATAGTATCTATTCAGTCATATGCACCAGCATACATTCACTGCACTGGAGTCCACATGCAATCAGGCTGTTAAATCTCAGCTCCAGCTCCACATCAGAAACGCAAAGCCATACCTCATGCTTGGTGATAGAAGAGAAATTAAGATCTTAATGAGCCTTGGAAACTGAAGTATCATACTTACCCCTCTCACTTTACAGAGGTATGTATACTCATGGGGAATGCATAAGAAAAGTATCATCTTGAAGACAGCAGTGGGATTTGAGCACCATGGTCTTAATATAATTGCATCTCAACAGCATATGTACAATTGTAGGCAAATAATTTGCAAGCATATATTTTGGTTCATCTGGTAATTTGTATGAAATAACACACACGGAGCCACTCAAACTTGACTCATATGCCTGAGCCACTGACAAAATGTCGACATATTGACAAAATCAATGCATTAAAGGCGTTGTGCAACAAATGACAAAAATCTTAGGTTTTACACATATTTCCTGTCTTGGTAATAATCACCAGTGGGTATTTACCAATCTCATCACAGAATGACTCTAACCTTAAAACGAACAGTAGGCGAACTTCAGGAATCCAGATGTCTAGCTATGATTTTACAAACACTTTATATCTTAAAAAAAAATCATCTCAAAGTTGCAAACTGAGCTAATGAGATGCTGAATACCATTTGTTGCCAGCCAGAATAGAAAAGTTATATCCATAATACTTGTTAATATACAGAAACTTCATTAATTGAATTCCTGTTTCAGAATGAAAACAAAACCAATACAAATTTTATGAAGAATGGGTAAATAATCTTCTTTCTGCTAGTTTTGATTCAAGTCCTAAATGAAAGTTTATTTTTATTTCTTTTTTTTTTTTTCTTTTCTTTGTTTTTCCTTAAACTAGATCACTTATCCCTAGATGGAAAAAGTGGTAAATTTTATAGCTTGGACTAATTGTTTTGTATAAAAGATGATAAAGGGCAGTGGCTCAGAATGTTGAGTAGATCAGTAATGAAGAAGGATAGTCAATAATTTGGACTGCACTGTGGTATCTACTGTGTGGGGCAATGATCTAACACCTCTAGGTCAAAGTACAGGCTGGCCCCATTATCCTCCAGTTCTTTGCTAGAGTAGCAGTTTTCTAATGATTGCTTGCACCAGTGTTAGTTAGTATAATGCAAGTGCGATACCACTTATTGCTAATGACTTGTCAAGTTCTATTTTATAGTTTTCCAAGTTTTAAGCAAATCATTTATTTCATGCAAATCGACCACATGATCCAATATGAGAGTGTTTTAAGCACCAAAAGCTTAAGCTTCACAGATCAAAAACTTTCCCTTAGGCCAGAATGTTTGTTCTGAGCAGGTTCCCATCCACTCTGATAAAAAGCTTCTTTAATGTTTCCGTGTGTTATTAAATGTCTCTCTATTCACTTTGATGGGAATGCAGAGGACAGTAGCTGAATAAATATTTTATCCGTTCTTTTGATGAAATATGTTAAAGGGGATATCCTAAGTCAAATTTCTTTTCTATTCCTTTTTCTCTCCTCTGTAAGTTATAAAGCACAAGTGGTTTTCTGCAGTACAGAGAACTCATAAATAGAAATGAGGAATTGGCCTCAGCAGATCAGACCATTAGGATTAATGGTGTCTACTATCTTAACTCCAGCAGTGGCCAGTTGGACACACATCCATGATGTAAATGAGAGGGAGGCAGGATGTTTTTAATGCTCCCAGTGGACAATCAGATTAGTCCGTGAATCATGAGAAGTCATTATCCAGATTACCACTATTATTATTGGACACACAGTTATCTCGCTGCTTTAAAGATGCAGCCACAGAAGAACACTGAAATGTAGTGTCTGCATATTTATTTGCTTCCCTTTTCAAATGTAGACTTTATATTTCTGCTATGAGATAAGCCAGAAAGGTTTATTTGACTTGATTTTTTTTTTTTAATTAGGGTTTGATTGCCTCAAAAGATGTAATTAGAAACACAGAAATGTGAATATATTTCTATGCCTAATCTGTCCATGCAGTTGTGCTACAGATACCTCCTTTACATATGATATTGTAAACAGCCATCTGACAAAAAATTACAGCCAATGGAAACCGACACAGTGAAATGTTTTCACTTTAAGCTCATGGGAGTGTGCTCACCAGGAGAAAAAGTATCATATTAAGACATGACTAGCTTCCTCCGCTGCCTTAAAAGAAAGAAATATGCTGCAAATAGGAGTAGAAAGTTTAAGACACTAGACGGTAACATGAATACTTTATTGAATATAAGCCACAGTCCTCAAGCTCTGTGAAACTTCTGTCATTGGTGTTTATTAAATCACTTGAGATGTCATGAAGAAATTAATTCTGACTTGGTTTATGAATATTTTAGATTTTATATTACATGATAAAGGAATACAAGACAAACTTTAATTACCTCACTTTTCTCAATCTAGGAAGTGTCTTTCTACATGTGTCAAAAATGTCATGTCCAAGCATTGAGGATAAATTGATTTCTTATGATAACAGCAAATCATGTGGGTATTTTTGCTTTCCTGATCTGCCCAGTTCAATTTGTCTGCAGTGACCTTAACTGACATACGTAAAGTCTACAAATTTATCTTTCTAAATCAAAAGATCATTGAATAAAAGAAAATACTTCTAAAATTATTCTAAAATCATTGTTACTGTTGAACAACTAAAGGCATTGTAGACAGCTGAATATTCTAATTGGATATGGACAGAAATAATGCCACCAGAGAAAGCAATATGTGGAAATGCTGTTTCTATGACTGTGCACTTCCTCATACCCATATATTTCTATCTGAACTGTGGGAATCCTACAATTCAACAGCACCAACATGTTACAGTATCTCTCAAACAGCGCAAATGTCTTCAGATAAATCTTATTCTGCCCAGATGTGAAAT